ATTGAAATAGGATTTTCAAAAAGAAAAGTTTTATTCAATGTCAAACTCTTTAATCTTATCTTTTTAAAAAGGATAATTAAGATATTTTAGAAACTTATAGAAGCTTCTAATTAATCCCAATTGGTTTACGAATGGGATTAAATAATTTGGACCCTCCACATGAACATTGGGTCGTAGGTAAGGTGGGCTTAGGTTCGGTTTGGAATCAGTTTAACATTTTGGTCATAACTTATTCGTTATAACTCGGATTTGGGCTTATAATATATCGTTGGAAAGATATTTTCAAGCCCCATCCAATTATTAAATCAATGGACCTAGATTCTAGAGAAAAATAAATTGGATCAAACGTTTTTATAAAAAGTATATGAAATGAATGATTTTAAAGGATACGAAATGAACTATTTCGGGTTTAAAGGCAAGAAAAGAGGAAAATAAGTTATGGTTTGAGGAAATTGGCTAGGAATTTGGTTGGTTTATGAAATGTAAATATTGATTTAAGCACTCCAAATATTAAATATTTAACCCGACCAATAATGGCAATGAAAGGTTGTTCGTCATCGGGTTTGGTTTTGGGGAGACATTTTTAGGTGTCTATAGGTGTGTAGCGTACTTCATAATTGAAAATTTTATTGCATAGATAGTATATTGCATTTTCTTTTCCTTCTACTTCTTGTGCAAGCATAGCTCCCATTGTCTCTTTGGTGATTATTAAGTACAACCTAAGAGGAATCCCTGGAAGCGCTGGTGCTAATACGGGAGGATTTGCGAGATAAGATTTCATCTTTTCAAAGGCTTTTTGACACTCGTCGTCCCATATTACTGGCACGTTCTTTTTGAGCTTCTTGAATATTGGTTCACATATTGTTGTTAGTTTTGATATGAACCTACTTATATATTGCAATCGACCAATAAATCCCCGAATTTATTTCTCGGTTTTGGGCAGTGGCATTGACATGATCGCCTTGATTTTGGTTGGGTCTATCATTATTCCTCTAGAGCTTATGACATATCCCAAGAGATTGCCGGAGGTGACTCCAAAAGCACACTTGGATGGAATCAACCTCATGTTGTATTTTCTTAGCCTTTCGAAGAATTTTCGTAAGGCTACTTGATGTGCTGGGCGATCCTTGGATTTCACAATCATATCGTCCACATATACTTTAACCTCCTTGTGCATCATATCATGGAGTAGGGCAGCTGCTGCTCGTTAGTAAGTAGCACCCGCGTTTTTGAACCCGAATGGCATTACCGTGTAACAGTAAGTACCCCAAGGTGTTATGAATGTCGTTTTCTCCATGTCTTCTTCTGCCTTGAGAATCTGGTTGTACCCCGCGTATCCATCCATAAATTAGAGAAGCGCATGATTTGTTGTATTATCTACTAAAATATCGATGTGTGGTAAAGAGAAGTCATCCTTTGGAGTTGCCTTATTTAAATCTCGATAGTCGACACACATTCTTACCCTTCCCTCCTTCTTCGGAATTGGGACCACATTTGCTACCCATTCGAAGTATTTGCTTTTGAACTTCTTCTTTTATTTTAAGAGCTACGTCGAGGTATAGTGTGTTGAGCTATTTCTCTATTAATGCTTGGCATATATTCATATGACCAAGCAAATACATCGATATATTCTTTAAGTAGATTAATTAAACTGGTTCTTTCTTCTTTATTAAGTGTTAGTCCGATTTTAACTTCTCTTTTAATGGTTGAATCATTTGAGATATCAACCATTTAGATATTCTCAATTATCGGTGATTTCTTTTCAAGTGAATCCATTGCTTTAATAATTTCTTTGTCATTTTCATTGTTAGTTAAGCAATGCTCGTCAACTTGGGTTCAAGAAAAACACAAGGAGTAAGAGGAAGAAGACATGTTATTCAATTACGAAATCATTACATCGAATAAAGAAATGTCCTCAGGGACTTGATTTCTAACTATCCTAGGAGTAGATGCTAAAATAGAAGAATTAGAAGAAGAAAGAGGTGCTACAACTAAGGACGTGGAAGACTCTTCAGGGAAAGACTCTGACTCTAACTCAGACGACTCTATAAACATTGGTCCTTGCCTTGTTGTTATAGATATTTTTCTTCCACTTGGAGTATTCACCTTGACCATCTTGCGCCGTCCTTGCACTAAACCCTCTGTTGGAGTGATGAGCTTTGAAGGGTCAAAATTCTCGCTTTTTAGAGCCGTTTGAATGAGCGAGGAGTTATCCTCTATGTACTTTGGCTCATCCTTTTCGCGCCCAAAGAGGAGTCCCATGACATTAAACTCAAAGCATGGGGGTGCTTTCTCCTTGTGAATAGGAGTTGGGATCTCATCCAGGAAGTGACAATCCAGGAAGATTTCGAGCCTAGGTTGCCTTATTCCATTTGCAACGAAGGGCTCGGGAAATTCGTAGCATGGATAGTCCTCTCCTTCTCTTATGAACTGTCCATTAAGAGTAAGAGGATATTGGTCCATTGGGATTTCTTTCTTTTAGGTGCGAGCGTTCCTACGCGCTTTAGACCTTTCTTAAGCTCGCTTTAGATCTTCTCGAGTCGGTTCGAAACCAAGTCCGAAAGTATCTAACTTAGGGAGGCCAGGTAATTTTAATTTTTTTGCAATATCCTTTTTCTTTCCTAGGGTCATTCTTGGAAAGTGTCCCTGTTTCTTGAGAATAGCATTTACTGTCATATTAGAGTGGGGGTCATGGCAAAGAGGGATCCTTTCACCCTCATCAATTAAGGAGACCTCTTCATTAAAACCCCACAAGTCTTCATCATTCTCATCGTGCTCCACATTAATAATCGGATTTTCGACAGCTTTAATTCTCATCGGTGGAGCATCGATTGTAATAGGGATCTCTCCAACTATAGCTTTTACTTGCTGGTGAAGGGATGAAGGGACGACCTTAAGGTCATGAAGCCAAGGGCGTCCCAACAATAAGTTGAAGGAAGCTTTAATATCTACCACTTGGAAGGTAGTGGCATGTTCTATTGCTCCCGCCGTTACATTCATGGTGATTTTTCCAAGAGCATGGCGACGAGTGTTGTCGTAGGCTCTTATTCCTTGTGTTGACGGGGTTAAACCTTCATCCTTTATTCCTAACATTCTCACATATCTAAGTGGATAGACATTGATTGCCGATCCATTATCTACAAGAGTCATTGGGACATTCATCCTCTTGCAGGCTGTTGTGAGGTTTAAATCTTTGTAATGTTTGTCACCTTCCGAAGGTAAATCCTTGTCAGAAAAGGTGATTAGATTGATAGGACTAGGGAGATCACTCGTAAGGAAGTTAGCCAACCCCTCAAGAATGGTTTCGGAATCTATCCCTATCTTATCCAAGGCGTTCATTACCGCTAGTCTATGTTCTCGGGATGTAGCAAGAAGTTTCCATATATTCATTTCGACCTTGGTCTTCTTGAATTGTTTGACAACATCGTTGTCCTCTATAATTGGTATGGGAACTTGTTGCACGGTAGAAATAGGTTGTGTAGAGATGGGAGGCTACATTCTCCCAGATCTTGTGAGGACGTCTATGGGTAAATCTTCTTCATCCCAAAAATTGCTTATTGGATATATGACTGAAAGTGGAGGTTCATCCATATCCTTAAGATAGACGTCCTCGTCATTGCTGTCCCAAACCGAACTAAATTTCTTGCAAAGTCTGTATTGTTTATTTTATTTTATTTTTGGAAGGGAATTCTTTTCTAAGACTTTTCCTCTACATGATGCCAATCTTTCCTAGCAAATTCACTCATTTGGGCACACTCGTTAAGAAACATAATGAACACCCCTATGATTATGTAGAAAAGATCAGATACTTTTGTTCCTATATGAGTAATGTCTTACGGGATAGAGTTTATGACACCGACCCCTGATCGCATCTCAACGATAATCATCCATTTCCTTCCAGAGGAGCCTCCTTACATTGTTGTCAAAGAAAGATTTTCTGACTTTTACCTTCCATGAGACATCCCAAATTACTATAAATACAAAGATTATTATGGCCAGTAGTATCCAGATTATGCATTCCTGACTAGTTACCTCGTAAGAGTGGAAAAATCTCATTGGCAACACTTACATCATCCATACCCTGACTACTACTATAACAATCCAGTAGGGAATAACCTTCCACCTAGTAATCAGTCAGGGAGTTCTTCTTCGTCTTCTTCTTCAGGGGGATATCAGGTAGAAAATGAAGGACAACAATAGGGAGATAGCTCGCTTATGGAGATTTCTGATCCTAATCTACTTCCAACTAACTCCAATAATAATAGACATTTCATCTGATAAGGACGAAGAGGGGGAATTTGTACAAGTAGAACCCGAACCTGAGACACCTGAACCAATGGAGGAGACAGATGATTCTGAATTCGATCCTGCTAGCTATAGACAATCTACTGACAAAAGAGACAATGTTCGAAAGGATTAGACTCCTAAAATTTCTTTCTAATAAAAATTCTTAGTTTATTTTCAACATTAGAATCGTTTTCGATCTAAGTAATAAGTGGCATGTCCACAAGGATTCAGTTAACTTATGAGAATTCATAAGTGATTATAACTCTTTTTTTTTATTATTCCAGTACTTTATTCTTTCTACATATATCAATAAAATTCCAATTTATTTCTTTTCTTCTTTCTGTCAATTCAATTACTTTAAATCACAACGAGTAATTCCATCTCCAAATTATCCAACTCGTGTTTCTATTCCAAATTACCAAAACCTTACTCAAGTAAATTCAATGCATAGTTACAAGGCTTGAGGGTTCATGGGAATTATTTTTATTTATTTATGTGATGCTTTATTAAATGTATGGTTGGTTAGCAATCAATAATTACTTGATAAAGCTACGAATTTTGGGAATTTTAATACTTATACTCCAAAATTTGCTAGCTTGAAAGTTATTGTGTATGTTTTAAGGGTATTAATTAATAGATGAGTGTATGCCTTGGGAGCTAACCTAAAACATATTTCATTTAGAGCCATATTCTTTTAATTCAGGAGAAGAAAGATGGCAGGGGGAAGTAGTACTAGCAATGATGGAAATGAACTTAGCAAAGTAGTGAGGCAACTGGCAGCAGTTGCCCAACAACTGGAAAGAAACGCGATTGGTAGTGGGGATGCCCATGGGGAGCTTTTTATGAAGGTGACTCAAAGTAAACTGCCAACCTATCAAGGGGAGCCTGATCCTACCATACTGGAAAACTGGTTGAGGGAGTTTAAGAAACGTTTTAGAGCAGTAGGATGCCCAGATAATTTTAAGGTGGGCTATGCGACCTACTGTCTGAGGGGTGAAGCTGACCTTTGGTGGCAACAAAATGAAGCTACCATTAGAGCACTACCTGGATTCAATTGGATTAAGTTCCAAGAGAAAGTGAGAGACATGTTTTACCCTAGTTTCCTACAGAAGAAAAAGGTAGAGGAGTTCTCAAACCTTAAGATGGAAAAGATGTTAGTTACTGAATACTACACCAAGTTTATTGAGTTGTCCCGTTTTTCTGAAGAGTATGTTGCTACAGAGAAGGAAAAGGCTAGAAAGTTTGAGAGTGGCCTAACTATTGATTTACAGTTAAAGCTGTGGGGGCAAGTGTTTGAGACCTTGGATGAAGTATATGGAAGGGCCGCACACCTTTACGCATTGGAGGAGAACAAAAAGAAGGAGTTAGCTGAGATAGAAGGAAAAGAGAAGAGGAAGGAAGTAGGACAAGTTTCTTGTAATCAACAAGGAAACTAGAACGACTTTAAGAAGTAGAAGTACCACCATAATAACAATAACTTCCACAACAATAATACTTCTAGGGTAACAATCGTCAGGGAGGATGTAATAACAATGGAGGGGCTAGAAACCATAACGAAGAGAATAACAAGAATGGGAGGACTTATTTTTGCAAAAGGTGTAGAAATAATCACCCTGGGAAGGATTGCGAAGGCAATTTGGTTGCCTATTGCGCTTGTAATAAACTTGGGCATTGGGAGTATGAGTGTTTCTCTAAGAATACCAATGGGAACAGGCAGAACAGTAATAATTCTGGAGGAAATCAGAGGAATTTTCAAGGGAACAACAATAACAACTTTATTGGGAATAAGGGAGCACAATAGAATGGAGAAAAATAAAATAATAATAACAGTGGGAACAACCAACAAAAAGGTGGATCTGCAAGGAAACTAAACGTTATGAGCAAGCATGAGGTTGATTCCATGAAAGATGTTATCACTGGTACTTTTTCTATCAACTCTATTGTTAAAGTATTGTTTGATTCTGGTGCAACTTTTTCTTTTATTTCTAAGGGTATTGTTTCAAAACTTAAAGACTGTTTAAAATCAATAGAAGTAATAGATCTACCTATAACTAGACCTGGCGATCCGGACCCCGACCCGATGACCCGACCCATGACCCAAAATCGACCCGAAACTAGTGACCCAAAATTGACCCAAAACTCGAATTAACCCGACCCGACCCTGTAAACACCCATTTGTGTCTCCCAAAAACCAAACCCGGTGATGAGTACCTTTCACCTCAAATCATAATCGAATGAAGTGAAAGTGTGGAGAGTCTAGTGTTGCAGATGGTTTTTAATTTCTTTTCTTTTCTCTCTGTTTTTGAAAACCTATTTTAAGAAAACAGCCAATCTAGTTTAGTTGGTTCATGATATGGGTCCAATAGTAGTGTAGTTGAATAGGGCTTGAAATGATCTTTTCAACGATATATTATAAGCCCAATTCCGTGAATATTGAGGAAGATAATGCCAAATTACTAAACTGGGCCCGGTTTGAACCTTATATGCGGCCCAATTATCTAGGGGAGGGCCTAATATGGATTTATCATTCCTAATGCAATTAGGAATGGTTTTAGTTTCTAGATTCTTCTAGAAGGTTCTTTTCATTCCTAATTCAATTAGCATTGATAAATTGACTTTTGTTGACTTTTTAGAGTTTTAATCAGAATAAAAGAGTGTTTTTGAGAAAAATACGATTTTATCCTCCTGTACGGATAAATTCTATCTGATTTTAGAAAATGCGTCAAAAACTTGATTAGAGCCTAATGCCAGCATTAGCGTCTGGCGCTAATGTCAACGTCTGGCGCTAACTCCGTTTTTTCACGTCAGAACTCTGGTTCGATTTTTCTATCTTTTTGGCTGATTTTCTCTATAAATAGCCTCCTAAAAAATTCATTTTCAAGACGAATTCTCGTCTACAATCATCAATTCCTTAGTTCTCTAATTGTTTTCACTCTCAAAGCTAAAGCTTTCTTTCTCTCTCTTTTCTAAACCACCCTTTTTACAAAATTAATTCACAAGACCTAGATACACCTAGCATAATTCGATGTTGCCTTCGCCCTAGACGTGAAAGGTTTGATATTTCTGATGGTTTGGTCTCAAATCTCATTTTCAATTATTATTTAATTTAATTGTTGTTGATTATTTTCCTTGAAGTTACTAACGCGTGTATTTTGTTATTAGAAAGAGCTACGAGGCATCCAAGTAAGTGCTTTAATTGTGTACATTGTTATTATGATATAGAAATCATGGTTAGGTTATTATGATTCCTAGTGTCACGTTAGGGTGTTTTGATCTTCCTAGTATCATGTTTAGGGTAATAATTATAATTTCTAATATCAAATATGACAATTGTGATTCCTGCGATGCTTCTTATTTTTTCCTAATATTCATGATAGTATCATGTTAGGGCTATATATTTCATTTTTAATGCTTAGTGACATGCTAGGGTTTGTTATTAATCTTGTTAGTATCATGCCAAGGATCTTGCTATTAATATTATGATTTAACATGATTATGCTTATTATTATGATGATTATGATAATTATTATTGTTATGTTGATTATTATGTTTCTTGATATATATATTCATTGTTATTGCTTGATCACGCCTTTTATGCATGTTTAAAGGGAATTGATACTTGTAATCACGGTTAATAAGATAATTAATAATATTGTTTAGGGTTAATTTGATTATAATTCAAGTGATCACATATAATAGTTTATTTGTGCATGAAATTCAACCAACATAAATAAATAGGTTTAAGGTTAAACCTATTGATTGCATGTTGGTCAGAAAGTGCACATGAATACGATCAGAATAAAGTAGAGGCCTATTATTAAGGCAGGTTTTGTCTCTTTTAGGTTGGATTTGTACCTTCATCCCCGAACTACCAGTCATGGTTCCAAACCTATTGGAGTTAACGATATCCTGGATCGTTAAGGGGTGTAACCTTCACCTCGTGAACGGTTTACAAGTTCCTAAAGCTTGTTGGCAACTCTTTTACTCTATCTTCTTTCCCTTTCGATGCCACCATACTTTAGTGTATGATCACTGTGGGATTCAAGCTAGGGGTAATGCTTGAAATATTCCCTACAGTTTTTTGGCGACTCCGCTGGGGAGGATTTCTATTTTAATTCCTGAAATTTATTTCGCCAATGATTTAGAATGAGTGGATGAGACTCGAAAAATTCTAAGTATTTCATGTGCGTAATTATGATTAACATTATTGTCATATGCATAAAAAATATCTCATTGGAAAGACCATCCGTAATGAGTTAAAACATAGGATTTTTACACGTAGGAAATTTAAGGAACATCTTTCACAACTAGGATTGAAATAATGCTGCCCAAAACTGGAAAATTTTATCGAGCATAGAAAGCTGCTGAGGCATGTAGGAACTAGCGTCAACGAACAATGATTAGCGCCAACGTTATGACGTTAGCGCCAGACGACAGCTCCTGTCGCCAAGCGCTAAAGCCAAAAAGTGGCGATGGCCTCTGTTTGCTGGCGCCAACTTCTTCCAATACCGAGCCAGAAATATGCGTTCTAATTTCGACCAGTTTTTAGCACTATTTCCTCGATCCTACTTCCTATTTGAGTTTTCTCACTTTTCGGAAACCATATGTGTTCTATATATGGACATAACCCTCTAGGAATTCATGCTCCATCTACCTGATTGAACGCTCTGAGCAACAAAGGGTACATCCGAGAATGTAGAATTCACCAAACCATGGAAGCGAGTTTTTTTAACTCACAGTGTCCCATCCACTCGCGCCAACCTTTCATGGTTAGGCTTTCGCGCGTTGCATCAGGACAATTAACCATGGACCCTCTATTGACTAATCCATATCCCGAACTTTATAGAATTAGAGCCATGGTTAGGTTGTAAACTCATTGCATCATGATGTGTCTACTTGAGTAATTGCGCATTTTTTTTTGTGCATTGTCTATGTGTTTTTCATAACCGTTTGTTAGACTTGTGTTAAGATTAAATAAATTAATTCATGACTAAAAGAACTTTGCCTAATTAATTAATTAATTAATTTGAGTAAATAAAGTCTAATCAGAGTTGACTTAGTACGACTTTAGGCATACCCCTGTAGAATAATAATACTGAAAACAGTTTCTGATCGACGCTCCAGCAATGGCGCCAAAGTTTGAACTGGAGCGCCACTCTGTGGAGTATCGCGCCTGGTGACAATCCTATCGTCTGGCGCTACACTGCAAAGAGAGGCGCCAATCTTGTCGTTTTGACGACAGTTCGGTTTATTGCTCGAGTCATCACCTTGTGTCTAACTAAACAGTTTCCTAATCAATTCGGTTAATTTTTACTGGTAATTATACCTTGTTAAGTCATTAATTGAGTCTAGGCACTAAGTCCCATGGTCTTACACAAAAGTCAAAGCATGTCACTTACACTCACCATATAAAGCACACACTAATGCACACTTTGACCATGTCTAAGGGAGTCTTGTATGCACGTTTTTTTCCGTCATTTTTTTAGGGGGGTAAGTCAGATAATAATCCTCCAATTAAATCAACTTGTTTAAACCCTATACTTAGTTGCCGAAAATATATACCTTATTTTTGCCAAAAATATGCACTAATTTTTTTTTACTTTTCCTCTTTTAAACCGTAAAGTCAAGGTCAATTTGAGTCAAATAATTAAAACAAAAAAATGGTTTAATTTACAGCTCGTGATCAAGAAAGGAAGGGCGTTTAATCAAAGACAATCTTTTTGTACAAGTCCAACTTTTAGACAAACCCATCGCTCGTAAGAGGAAAGCTAGGACAATAATGGCAATTCAAGAAGAAGTCAATGAGCTCAGGAACCAACTGATTACTGTGACTGAGGCGTTAAAGGTTCTAACCCTCAAGATTGATGATCCTGTGAAACAACAATAGATGGACCTCAAGCAAGATAGTCTTAGCAAATTGTCTAGCGACTACAAGTTTCAAGGGATTAGCTCACAAGGGGTCTCGGTGGACAAGGATCTTCTTCCGCGGAAGTTCAACGCCAACGACATCCCAAAATTCAAAGCAACTGATAACCCTTACTTTCATTTAAGAGCCTTCGAAACAATAATGAGAATTAAGGGTATCGACAAGAAAGTGTTTCCTTCTCTGTTCTCACTATCTCTCGAAACCGTTTGCCAACAATGGTTCTTTTCTCTCGAGAAATAAAAAACCTCCACCTGGGATTCCATAGTAAACGCTTTCATTGATAGATACAAATGCAATATTCAAGTTGAGACCGACTATAGGGAACTTGAAATCCTCAAGTAGAAAGAGAATGAAGGTTTCACCTCTTTCTTTAACAAATGGAGAGAAACCTCAGCTAAGATGATTGAGGTGCCAAACGAAAAAGAGTCCGTAAGGTTATTCATCAAAAACCTTCAAGAAAAGTACTCCAAGCATCTCAAATATCAGAATAATCTCCATACCTTCAAGGTC